AGGGCCAAGGAGAAATGTCTCTAAGAAGAGGAACTCCAGAGAGTACCTGATATGTTTGAAAGTCTTGAAAAAAGATTCAGACAAGCGGCAGAGAGTTTGGATGTTGAAGTAATAAGCATGTAGAAAAAGAAGCAAAATAAAAAAAGAGGAAAAAAGAAGCAATTATTAACTCCAGGAAAAACAAAAAGATTTGTATGACAAGAAAAGAAGTGAACAATTCATCGCTCAATGTCAACAGTGTTCTGTATAGTCACATAAATAATGTCAACAGTAAATATTGATCCAACCAAAATTACTATATTGGGAAAACAGGGAGCAGGTGGGAAGAATTTGGGGGTAAGGTAAGAATAAATCAGAGAAAGAGAACAGAGACCAATAAAAAAGTAGCACTACCAGCATGTTATTCAGAAGTAGGGAGGGAAATTCCAAAATAATGAACTAAAACCACTAAAGGTGATTGCATCTGGAGAAAAAAAATGAAGAGAGGAACTTTTTTCTTTTTTTCTTTTTTTAACAAAGCCTTGTAAATTATATAACTACATCACACTTTAAACTGTGTACACTGGTTTAAAAAAAAAACCAGGGTCTAAGCTCTTACCCATTAAATCTATGTTTTTCAAAATATAGGTTTGTGACTCAATTAGGTGGTTGAGAAATAATTCAGTACGACATCACCATCATTTTTTTTAAATAAATTCTAATGGGAGATAGAAAATAAAAGACATTGCATATAGTTGAGTTTTTTTTTATGAACCTTTAAAATATACCTATCCACATATACAGATTCTTAACGTAAAGTGTATTTTTAACTGTTGACTGTCAACAAAATAATATAAGATCGTCACTCTAAACTACACTGTATTATAATTACTTTTCATTTTTGTCTTTCTTTCTCTTTTCTTTTGAGGAAGTCTCACTCAGGCTGGAGTGTAGTGGCACAATTTTGGCTCACTGCAACCTCTGCCTCCCAGGTTCAAGTAATTTTCCTGCCTCAGCCTCCCAAGTAGCTGGGACTACGGGCATGCACCATCACACCCAGCTAATTTTCGTATTTTCAGTAGAGATGGGGTTTCACCATGTTGGCTAGGATGGTCTTCATCTCCTAACCTCATGATCCACCCACCTTGGCCTCCCAAAGTGCTGGGATTACAGGGGTGAGCCACTCTGCACCCTTTTCTTTGCTTTCTCACAGTTAGCTCTGTAATATGGGCAGAGTGAAGAATAACAACACAGAGAAGAGAATTCAAACTCCCACAGGCGATTGTATAATGTGGAATATTACTGCTTCTTAGGCGACTTGTCTTTCTAGTTATGTATGACTTTCACTAATATTTACATTTCTGGTCTACAAAGACACTGGAGCCAAGGAACCATTCTAGAAGCCTTTAGGATGGCCGAGGAAGCCAGTGTAGAAATAAAAACTTGCAACCTATACAGACTGAATAGCCCTTATCCAAAATGCTTCGGACCAGAAGTGTTTTGCATTCCAGATTTTCAATTTTTCTTGAATTTGGAATATATGCATTATATACTTATCAGATGAGCATTCTTAATTGAAAAATCCAAAATCCAAAAAATACTCCAGCTAGTGTTTCCTTTGAACATCATGTTGGCACTCAAAAAGTTTTGGATTTGAGAGTTTTTTTGTTTTGTTTTTTGAGATAGGGTCTTGCTCTCACTCTGTCACGCAGGCTGGAGTGCAGTGGTAGAATCTAGGCTCACTGCAACCTCTGCTTCCAAGGTTCAAGTGATTCTCCTGCCTCAGCCTCCTGAGTAGCTGGGATGTGTGCCTGTGTTTTTGTTTTGTTTTGTTTTTAAGTAGAAATGGGGTTTCACCATGTTGGCAAGGCTGGTTTCGAACTCCTGACCTCAGGTGATCTGCCCGCCTTGGCCTCCCAAAGTGCTGGGATTACAGGCGTGAACCACTGCGCCTGGTCCCCAGGAATTTGGAGCATTTTGGATTTCAGATGTTCAGATAGGTATACTCAACTGTTGGTGAATATACTAGGAAATATTTACAAAGTTGATTAAGAGGAATCTTTCTTCCACTGACCCTCCCTCAGATGATTTGCAAGGTATATTGTTCATCCTGACATATGGAAAAAATAAACAGGAGGAAAAATTATGTGGTCCATGAAATGGCAAAAGTATACCCCAGAGTAATTTACCACATTGTATTATAACTATTTTTTCCCCTCTCCCCACATCTCTCCAAGGTGAGTGACTCTGGTGCAGGTACTGGATCCACAAGTACCTTTGAATCCTCTATGCTAAGCATGGTACTAAAATGATCTGAACTTCATAAATGTCTCCTGGATAGCAATGCAATGGTATTTTAAGAAACAAATCCACATGTCTTAATGTTTCAGAATAGGGATCAGTACACACATCAACTACTAACCTGGATGCATGCAATGTATTAGAATATTAGAATTTCAGCACCGAAACAAACATCTTTAACCTCAGAGGGCCCCTGATCTTTTAGTCCTAGCTACACAGTCTTGGCTTTGGTTTTGTAAAATGGGGAAATGATGAAAGCCTACACCATCTGTTTTTTTTTTTTTTTTTTTTCCTGGACATCAATGCACTCTCACTTGTTTTTACTGGTAAGACTGAAAACTTTCACCCACTAACTTTGAATTTCTACCCATGGTTAATTCATTGGTAATTTCTTGCAACTTTCAGAAAAACAGTAATCCTCAATTTGACACAGGTTTGCCAGTATGCATTTAAAGACCTCTTACACTTCAAACCACGGACTTGTAGACACAAAACATAGTAACATTCTCTGTATTCTACTCTTCACCTTTGCCCTGCCCTGAGCACTATCTAAAAACCAATGACAGAAATGCTTGCAAACATAGGATGAAACATTGTTGCAGTTAATCAGCCCAGAGCCCAAGGGAGAAATTTTCTATTTTTAAAGGCACTGTTACTTTAAGGAAAAAGTCTGTGGAGAAATGTGAAACCAAGCTGCATAATGAAAATCAAAATGCATTTGGTCTCTTCATCTGTGCAAAGACAGTTATTCTAATGTACACGGAGCACTGTTGTGTTGACTCCTCGGTTCGTCTGTAAATGAAATGACCGGTACTAGGGGCAGAATCCCATAGAAAGCTCATCTGCTACTCAAAGAATTAGATCTGTCAGAAGGTCAAAACACAACAGTACCCACATTTCAATGCTATTTTTATAGCTCCAGATAAGGGACTATCCCACTAAGCAAGCAGATGAATAGATCCTAAAGCCACCCTTCAAATCTTTACCTAAAACATCCTGTTTAGTAACTAACGTGGTTCAGCCCGAAAAATGATCAACTGATTACTTAGCATTTGGAACCAACTGTCCACAGTTACGGATTGTATCCAAATTCCACAAAATCAAATCTGTTTCTCTTCACGAATGACAACACTTCATGTCACTAAACAGTAGCTAACAGTCGCACTCCTTATGGAGTGACAAGGAGCAGGTGCCAAACCAACAAGGAAAACAAGCAGCAGCTACACAACCGGAGCTAAAAAATATTCTACCTGTTTCCCCAGACTGCTTTCAAGAATCTGACCCAACAGAATTTTTTCCCTAAACAGTATAACAATATCTTGTTGGGGGGGGGGACATTCGTTGGTGATATGGGCATCTAATTTAATCTGTAAATATTTAATGTACTCAAGGAGTTTACTATCACCATAAAATAAATTATCTACACAGCTATAAATGCAACTAAAAATACATCCATTACCAAACAACATTCAGTATAATGTACAATAAATACTACATTCAGTGTTAAACACACACTTTAAATATAGCTGAGCTATTTAATATCACCATCAGAATCTGCGAAAGGTAGCAAAATGTTTGCAAACTGGATAAAAATTGCTATGCTCAACACGAAAAGCACAAAATCCCCAATCTTACCTCCTCATGATTTCTTTCCCCAGATTTGGCAAAACTGAGCTTGAACACCATACATTATAGAATGGAGGCATTGCTTAATAATGTCACAAACCCTGCTTCAGAGTCTCTCTTCAATGAAAATCTCTAAAGAATGAAACTCACTAAATTGTAGTCCATCGATCAACAGGTGATTCTCAGAAACAGAAACTCATTCATTTCCAATGAAAATTAATTTTGTAAACTCTCCCATTTTTTCACATACGGATATTTACAAGCTATTACATTATTATACTGAATGAATTTCAACCGATTTCTTCTCAGAGGCTTACTAGAAAAATGCCAAATATTCAAATTATTTTGGGGCATTATCCCATAATGCTGCATGGAACAGAACAGAATTAATAAGGATCCAACAGTTACCACTTTTCAAATGCAAATATGTTGCCTTCTAGTAAATACAGCCCCTTTTAGACCATCCCTCAGTGTCTATACAGTTCAGGGCTCTACTTTTGATTCCTTGAAAATCAAAATTCGCGCATTACATTGAGGCATTGTCTCAACTCAGCAGCAACAACTAAAACAGATAGTAACTAGTCCAACCTGAGTCTGCATCGTACAAGACTCTTTCGCTTCATTTCTTTTCCTATTTTACACACACTGTCCCTCAAGAATTCTGCCAAAGCAAACAAACGCTGCAGTGATTAAAAGAATCACGGGCACTGGGTTCCACGAACAATGAGGTCGTGGGCTGGTCCCCTGCCCGCCTCAGGCCTCAGTTATCCTGTCTGTAAAATGTGGCCGCTGGACGATTCACCTCTGGCGTCCCATCCAGCCCTCTCCCTCCCGGGAGCCTCGCAGCCCGCCAGGTCTCAGCTGACTGGTGCTGGCGGTGGCCAGGGTGCCCTGCCTGCCGCCGCTCTAGATGGAGGGAAAGGGGGCGAGGGAGGAGAGGACCTTGGACTTGCAACCGCTTCAAACAGGAGGGGCGACAAACTTGAAGCCGCCCTCCTAACAATAGGAAGGAGCGCTCCCATTTTCCTGGCTCAAACTTGCAGGACCCCGCGAGGCTGGATCCTCCCCAGCCGGCCTCTCGGAACCCGCCGTACCTTTCTCCCTGTTTGGTGTTAGAAGGAGGAGGGTGCAGGACCGTCTGGTTGCCTTCCATCTCCACCACGCACTTGGTGTTCAGTTCCAGTTCTGAAAGCACAGAGGCAAAGGGACGTTGCAAAGTCCAGCACCCGCGCCTCCAGCCCGCGCGGGGCTCCGTCCCGGGAAGCGGCCGAGCCTGGAGACGGCGCCCCGGGCACCGCGGCCAGCGCGGACACCGCCTCCGCCCCGGCCCCCCGGGCCCCGGCCCCTGTGGCGGTCTTGCCGTCCCGGCCCCGCAGTTTCCAAAGTTGCCCCCGCCCTCAGCCCGAGCAGAAATAAAACCGAGCGGAAAGCTCCTCACCTCGTCGGTTCATGGGCCGGACCCGGACGGCAACTTTTACCTTGGTATCCGACATGTTGGCTGCGCTCGCCCAGCCGCTCGCCGCGCCCGCTCGGCCCGAGGCGGCCCCTCACGCGCGGCGCCACCGCCGCCGCAGCCGCGCGCCCCTCGAGCGCGGCCGCCGACGCTCCGCCGTGAGCTCCGAGAGGCAGCGCCGAGGCGCGCGGGCCATCCCGGGGGAGCGCGACGCGGGGCACGGCCGCGGCCCGGGGAGGGGCGGGCGCGCGGGGCGGGGCGCGGCGGCGGCGGCGGCGGCGGCGGCGGGCGGGGAGGAGGCCTCGCCGCCGGGCCCAGGCGCCGCTCTAGCGGCGCGGCCCCAGCCCAGAGCGCAGCGCCGAGGCCCCTCGCGGCTGCCCCGGGCCCGGCCGCGCCGCCATGTTCCGCGCCCGCCGCCCGCCGGGGCTCGGGAGAGGCCGGGATCGGCCGCGCGGCGCGCCCCCTGGAGCGGCGGGACTGCAGTGAGGGGAGCGGCGAGCGGCGCGGCGCTCAGGGGCGGCGGGAGTCCGGGGCCGGGCGCATTGTTTCCCGAGGGGACCTCCCAGGCCAAGCCGGCACCCGCGCCCGCGGGGACCCCCGGCCACCGCCTTCTGGGGCTGCTGCCAGCCGGAGTCCCGGGGCGGCCGGAAGGGCCCCGGCTCGCCGCGCAGGGTGGCCAGGCCTTCCCCTCCGAGCCCCGGCACGCCGCCCGCTCTGTCCCACACGGAGCCTGCAGCGATGTTGTAAGATCTCTGTGGTGAACCGAGACTAGAATCTGTGAATCCACCACCGAAACAGTGTGTGTTTGTAAATCGTGCCCTTCCTTCCCTTCTCGGCCTCTCCTGTCGTGGGAGGGATGTCAAGTGGACTGGGAGGGCCATGAACTCTTACATAAGAATTTAATAGCAACGGATTCTGTCATCCTGCCAAACGCAGACCTCTCTGCCAGGGCGGAACTGGGCGAATCGGATTTATTCTGTTTGGTTCAACAAGTGCTTAGGGGGCGCTCACTTAGTGCCAGGCATTTTGAAGCGTACAGAAGTCAAAAAATCCAGAGTTTAGATCCGGGAATCTTTTGATTTTGCTTAAATCTAGAAATCCACTTACTGGAAGATGCACTGAGGTCCTACTGTGTGCAGGGTGCTGTGGAGGTCACACAGAAACATGAATAGCATGATGCAGAAGCATACGCTAAGGTGAAGGGAGGGCGTGGAGACATATTACGTTAGACAGTGTGCGGCACGTGCTAGGAGAGGCTCCGCCTGCCTCCAACAGGTGCCAGGCTATGAGCCTGACTTTAAGTGATTCTACCCTTCACCTTTGAACAACACAGGGTTGAACTGCACAAGTCCACGTACACGTGGCTTGTTTTCAATCAAAGTCTGATTAAAAATACAGTATTCGTGTTCTGGCACGGTGGCTTATGCCTGTAATCCCAACACATTGGGAGGCCAAGGCGGGAGGATTACTTGAGACCAGGAGTTTGAGACTAGCCTGGGTAATGTAGACAAACTCCATCTCTACAAAAAAATAAAAATAAAAAAAATAGCCGGGCAGGGTGGCAAGTGCCTGCAGTCTCACTTGAGCCTGGAAGGTCGAGGCTGCAGTGAGCCATGTTCACACCACTGCCCTCCAGCCTGGGCAACAAAGCAAGACCCTGTTCGAAAGAAAAAAAAAGAGAGAGGAAGAAAGGAAGGAAAAAGAAGGGAGGGAGGGAAGGAAGGAAAAGAAAAAGAGAGAAAGAAAAGTGAAAAAAAGAAAAAGGAAGGAAAGTATTTGGCACGGTTCAAAACGGAGACATCCAACTTTTCCTCTTTGCGGGTTCTGCAGAGCTGACCGGGACTTGAGTATGTGTGGTTTTGGATGTTCCTGGAACCAGTCTTCTGCATACACGGAAGGACAACTACTTCAGCCCTACCTTACTGTAGAGCCAGCTGTCTCAGTCCGCCTCTGAAGGGCGTGTTGCATCTTTCCTCCTCTCGGTTCCTACTGCTGCAGTCTCACTTTGTCTGTTCATTCACCTGTTCATCAAATGTGTTCTGAGAGCTCTACCATGTTACAAACACAGCTGTAGGCTTTCGGCTACAGGCTCTCAGCTGCTGCTGAGAAAAACAGGTGAAATTTCCAGCCCTCTGGGGCTAACAATCTAGGTCTGTGTCTACCTCTTCACTTTTGGGCTACGGAGACCTTCTTTTAACCTTCCTAGCTTTGCCTCCTGTAATCTTTCCTAAATCCGGCTTCCAGACTGATTTTTCACAAAATTAAAATTTTATCCTTTGGTCATGCATACTATTCTACTGTTCAAAAACGTCTCTGGCCTACCCTACTTAATATTACCTCCCCCGCTCCTAAAATTCTTCACTTCATCCAGGACCTTTTCACAACCAAGATGCCCTCCCTATACTAAGCCATTATTCTGGCAGTTTCTACCAATGGGAATTGTACAGGGTTGAATTTGTGTCTCCCAAAAATACGTACAAGCCATAACCTTCAGTACCTGTGAATGTAATCTTATTTTGACACAGGGTCTTGGCACATAAGTTAGGATGAGGCCACGCTGCATTAGGATGGGCCCTAAATCCAATGACTAGTGTCTTTATTTATTTATTTATTTATTTATTTTGAGATGGAGTCTCCCTCTATCACCCAGGCTGGAATGCAGTGGTGCGATCTCAACTCACTGCAACCTCCTCCTCGCAGGTTCAAGCCATTCTTCTGCCTTAACCTCCCAAGTAGCTGGGATTACAGGTGTGTGCCACCATCCCCAACAAATGTTTGTATTTTTAGTGGAAACGGGATTTTGCCATGTTGCCCAGGCTGCTCTCGAACTCCTGACCTCAGGTGACCCCGCCCCCCCCCCACCTCGGACACCTGGCCTGTCTAGTGTCTTTATTAGAGAAAGGAGAGGGAGATTTGGACACATAGGGAGGAAGGCCATGTGAAGGCAGAGGCAGAGATTGGAGGGATGCAGTCACAAGCCAAGGAATGCCAAGGTTTGCCAGGAGCCCCCTGAAGCTAGGAAGAGGAAAGAAAGCCTCCAGTGGAAACACAGCTCTGCTGACACCTTGATTTGTGGCTTCTAGACACCAGGGCTCTGAGACACTAAATTTATTTTGTCTTATGCCACCCAGGTCACCAGTTTATGGTCATTTGTTATAGTCAGTAGTTTTAAGAAACTAACACAGATGCCAGGTGCAGTGGCTCATGCCTGAAATCTCAGCACTTTGGGAGGCCAAGGTGAGAGGATCATTTGAGCCCAGGAGTTTGAGATCAGCCTGGGCAACACAGAGAAACCCTGTCTCTACAAAAAATAAGAAATTAGCCAGGCGGGATGGCACGTGCCTGTGGTCCCAGCTACTTGGGAGGCTGAAGCAGGAGTACCGCTAGAAAGCTGAGGTCAAGGCTGCAGTGAGCCATGATTGTACCACTGCACTCCAGTCTGAACAACAGAGACTCAGACTCAAAAAAAAAAAAAAAAAAAGAGAGAGAGAGGAGGGAGGGAAGGAAGGAAAGAAGGAAAGAAGTTCATACAGAATTTAATCAGTGCCCTCTCTGTCTCATTTTCTCCTCCCTCATTCTCTTCCAGATCATGAAAGCCTGGAGTGCCTAAGAAATTTCGTGTTTACTGTGAATGAAGGCAATGGGAACTGAATGAAGCATTTGGATGTGGAGCCAGGGATTGACATATTCAGAGCATTGATTCAGGGTAATTAATTTGGCAACACTGTATCTTTCCCGGGGGCTATTATAGTCATCCAGATGAGAGGTGATGATAGCTGAACAAAGCCAATGATAGCGCAAATGGAGCAGAAGGAGCAGATGCAGGACTTACTGCAGTGAGAAAAGTAGAACAGTTTAGCAACCAATGGGATGTGAGGATTGAGGGAGGCAAAGTATTGCGAGGGACTGGGAGGATGATGGCCGGTAACACCGTGAATGGATGAGAAGAAGAATAGGTCTTAAGGTGAAAGGGGCATGATTCTTTTGGCATTGCAGGTTTAAAAAAATAGTTCCTGGCCAGTCACAGTGGCTCATGCCTGTAATCCCAGCACTTTGGGAGGCGAGGCAGGCAGATCATGAGGTCAAGAGATCAAGACCATCCTGGCCAGCATGGAGAATCCCCGTCTCTACTAAAAATACAAAAATTAACCGGGTGTGGTGGTGCATGCCTGCAGTCCCAGCTACTCGGGAGGCTGAGGCACTCCAGCCTGGCACCTGAAGACAAAACAAGACTCTGTCTCAAAAAAAAAAAAAAGTGTGTGTGTGTGTATGTATGTATATAGTTCCTATTGGTTCTTTGCAGAGTGACTCTTCTTTCTGCTTTCCCAACCCTCTCCAACTTTAAAGATGCAGATTAGTTCTCACCTCTTCTATGAAGAGTTTACTAGGCCAGGCATTGTGGCTCATACCTGTAATCTCAGCACTTTGAGAGACCAAGGCAGGTGGATCACTTGAGTCCAGGTGTTTGAGACCAGCTTGGCCAATACAGTGAATCTCTGTCTCTACTAAAAATATAAAAAATTATCTGGGTGTGGTGGCACATGCCTGTATTCCCAGCTACTTGGGAAGCTGAGGCATAAGAATTATTTGGACCTGGGAGACAGATGTTGCAGTGAGCCAAGATTATGCCACTGCACTCCAGCCTGGGTGACAGAGTAAGAATCTGACTCAAAAACGAAGAAAAAAAAGAGTTTACTAAACAACTCTTTTCTTTTTCAAAACAGTTTAGCCCTACATCATTAGACTTACATTTTTTTAGAGTTTGAAGGTACCTTTGGGAGTCCTGTGAACCTTTTTCCAACAGCCCCCAAAGTGGCCATTCTCTGCTTGAATTCTGGTGACAGAGTGCTCAAATTTGAAGAGAAGCTGAACTCAGCCAGGGGACTTCTCAGGTTCTTTGCTTAGGAAAGGCCTCCATGAAGAATCAGATTTACATCCCCAGGGCATTCCACCTAGCATCAGAAGTGCTGCCTCCTCGTGCTTCCCACTCCAAATCTAACTCCTTTTTCTCCTTTTTTTTTTTGGGATGGAGTCTTGCAATATCACCTAGGCTAGAGTGCAATGGCGCAGCAACCTCAGCTCATTGCAACTTCCACCTCCCTGGTTCAAGTGATACTCCTGCCTCAGCCTCCCAAGTAACTGGGATTACAGGAGTGCACCACTACGCCTAGTTAATTTTTTGTATTTTTAATAGAGAAAGGGTTTCGCCATGTTGGCCAGACTGATCTCAAACTCCTGACCTCAAGTGGTCCACCTGCCTCAGCCTCCCAAAGTGCTGGAATTACAGGAATGTCCCTCCTGGTCCAATGAGCTGTATCCAGCAGGTTGCAGTCCTACAGCACAAACATGGCTGCCAGAAGCCTGGGTGGCAGCATGCCAGGGAACAAGGGACAGCAGTTCTCAGAAAAAGTAGGCTGTTGTGTGTCAGGCATATCTTCAAAAATTGTCCACTACAACCTGTGTGGCAGGAATTCAGATTCCCATTTGTTACTCGTGAATCGGTTGAAGATTAAGGGGGTTAAACAACTTGTTTCAGGCTACATGTAAGTGTGAGAGGTAAGATTCAAACACAGCCTAACCAATTCCTCAGCCTTGCTTTATTATAACTTGCTGTCAGGGGAGGGCGGCCAGGGCAGTTTAAGGAATGTGTTATGTGGCAGATTGTATTTTCCAAAAAGGACTCCCGTCCCACATGCTCTACTTAAAATATAACTTTGATATTTCCACTATTGAGATAAAGGGTCTATGGTCCTCCCTTTGAATCTGGGATGGCTTGTGACCCGGCCAGAAGTGACACTATAGGACTTCTGAGATTAGGCCATAGACTATTATATAGCTTCCATAGGTACTCTTGAAATACTCACTCTTGAAACTTAGCCACCAGGCTGGAAGGAAGACCAAGCCTACCCCTGCAGAAAGACCATGCAGAGAAATCTTGAGACAACTGGGAGACAGAGATAGAGATAATGAGAGAGAGAGAGAGAGAGAGGAGACACCTGGCCAGCTCCATCTGCTCCAGCCCCACACTGTCCCAGCTCCAGCCACCATCTGACTGAGATCTCATGAAAGAGACCACAGCTAGAACTTCCCGTAGAGCCCTTTTCACGTTCTTGACCCACAGAAACAAGGAGAGATGCTATGATTGTTGTATTTAAAACTTTTATTTTAATTATTTCTGAGACAGAGTTTCACTCTGTTTCCCAGCCTGGAGTGCAGTGGTGCAATGTCAGCTCACTGCAAACTCGACCTCCCAGGTTCAACTGATTCACCCACCTCAGCCTCCTGAGTAGCTGGGACTACAGGCACCCACCAGTAGACTGTTGTTTTAAACCACTACATGTTGCGGGGGGCAGGAGGTGGTGCGGATTTACTACAACAGTAACCAGAACAGCATGTTCTGGGGGAACGGAAGTCTTCAGAAGGACATGAGAGCCAGCCTCAAGTACCTGAGGAGCTTCAAGTATAGCAGGAGTTAGATTTGGAGGCTGGGAGTGGTGGCCTGCCTTGCTGTGCCAAGCACACTCAAATTAGAATCTGGTACTTGGTCAGAGTTAAATAAGCATCCGGTGGTATCACCATCACCATCATCATCACTACACTTGTTATTGGCTGATCCCGAACTCCCTTCATTGAGCATAAGTTACCCAATATTATTCGGTAGATGTGACCCTATCGTATTTCTTAAGTGCCCAAGGCATGTCACAACATGAAATGAAAAACGGTCTTTAAAATATTCTCCAAGAGATTAAGCCTCCCTCAACATATCAGTGCCCAATTAGATCTCCCTGGAGCCCCTTAGAAGTACAAATTACTGGCCAGTGCAGTGGCTCACACCTGTAATCCCAGCACTTTGGGAGGCCAAGGCAGGCAGATCACCTGAAGGTGATGGTGAAACCCCATCTCTACTAAAAATTCAAAAATTAGCTGGGCATGGTGGCACATGCCTGTAGTCCCAGCTACTCGGGAGGCTGAGGCAGGAGAACCTGGGAGGCAGAGGTTGCAGTGAGCTGAGATGGCACCATTGCACTCCAGCCTGGGCAACAAGAGCGAAACTCCAGCTTAAAATAAATAATATATATATATAAGAAGTACTAATTATCCAATTGGGCAATTGGGGCCACAGATGGAACCTTTTGTCCTGATGCAATTGGCTTTTCAGGCTAATTTACTAGGAAGGGGGTGAATCACCAAAAAGAAGGTACCAGAAGGCTATAGAGGAGATTTGGTGAATTCCAAACCTCACACTTTGGCAAATAAAAATTCGCCAAATAAAAAGTAGTTGTCAGGCATGGTGGCTTAACGCCTGTAATCCCAGCACTTTGGGAGGCTGAGGCTGTCAGATCACCTGAGGTCGGGTGTTCGCGACCAGCCTGACCAACATGGAGAAACCTTGTCTCTACTAAAAATACAAAATTAGCTGGGTGTGGTGGTGCATGCCTGCAATCCCAGCTACTTGGGAGGCTGAGGCACGGGAATCACTTGAACCTGGGAGGCGAAGTTTGCAGTGAGCCAAGATCACACCATGGCAGTCCAGCCTGGGCAACAAGAGTAAAACTCCATTAAAAAACAATTAAGTAGTTATTCATCTAAGAAGGAGTTACAGACTGTAGACCAGGAATTTTAACTGGTCAGACCTCTTCAGGAGAATCTGGAACTTTCCAATTCACCTATGTTTGTGATTTTTTTTCTTTTCCTTGCTTATTTAACTAAAGTGATCAGAAAAAGAAGAAAAAAAGAAAAAGCTAAGAGGATGCAAGGACTTTTCTATCATGACAACAGGGAAGTTTGGGATGCTGGACAGTGTCCCATTCTGGAGTCAGGGAGGAGAAGCTGAGCGTGGGCCCACTGCATGTAGGTAAAGACCCATCAAAGAGCTGGCTCAGCCTGGTTAGAGGCCCTGGACCGGGGCTGAGCTATGGAAAGGCCCGTAAGGCTTCCTTGACAAAGCACTCCAGCCCAGCCATCAGCCATCCCTACAATGCCCACAGATCACCAGATGCCAATGAATACAGCCATGCGTGCTAGTCACAAAGACAGCCCTGGTCTGTGCTCCTTTGTCAGAAAGAGCTTGTTAGCATAGCTTGCCTTTAGAAACTGGAAACACTGCGGGTTCTGAGGAACTGGCAGACAACTGATAGACAACCAACATCCCAATGACTCTAGAATCCTCTCTTTTCAGATGTAAGACTAAGTTCCAAAACTATTTCAGTCAGAAGTAGCAAATCAGGCTGCCAGGCTGATCTAAAAATTGCTAATGTCTTAAGTCTGCAGAGAATCAAAGGATAATCATAGAACAGGCAAACACTTTTAAATAAGAGGCTTCCTATAAATCTAGTTAAATAACCGCAGGGGTCAGCCTAGGCTAAGTTACGACATGGTGACCAACAACCCTTGAATCTCAGCGACTTAGGAGAAGCTATATGCCCTGCATGCATGACTTGTCCATCACAGCCTGCTGGTGGTTCTGCTTCTGTCATTTTCTTTCCTAGTCCCAGGCTGACAAAACAGCCCCTGCTGAGACAATGCTGGTTTTGTAACAGAAGGAAAGGAGAAGGTGGCAGACCACACAATAGCTCCTCAAGTTTTGCTCAGAAATGGTACATATCCTTTCTCAGTTTCACTGGACAAAGCAAGTCACATGGTCAAGCCAAGCATCAATGGGACAGAGACAAAGAATTCTCCCCCAGGGAGGGACTGCAAACCATCTATCACAAGAACATTTATATTTCACAACAGTTAACAGTAGATAACTTTTATTAAACACTGACTACTTACCAAGCATTGTTCTATTACTTAATCCTCAAAATAACCTATGAGGGACACACTATTATTGTCATCCTTTATTACAACTGACCTGTAAAAAGTAAAGAGACAGTATAAAAGGTCACATACCTGGGAAGTGATGGCCTTGGGATTTAAATGCAGGCCTTCAAAAACCATGGCTCTCGCTTCTACACTGTGACTGCTTTAGATGTGTTTTCTGAAATAAAGCTGCCGACCTACGTAATTGTAACACGCACGTGAGTGGTTTTTCTAAGGGTGATAATGGAGTTGCCTTGACTCATCTATATTTTTCTGGTACGAAAAAATATAAGCAATATAAACAATACTAGGTTAGCATTATGCTTTACAGTTCAATGCAATATGTATTCTCCATGAAAGACTTACAAAATTTATGGGAGATAGAAAAGATGATAATCCTTCTGACAGAAGTAAGGGGTAGACCAGGCACGGTGGCTCATGCCTGTAGTCCCAGCACTTTGGGTGGCTGAGGCAGGGGGATCATCACCTGAGGTCAGGAGTTCAAGATCAGCCTGACTTGGCAAAACCCCGTCTCCACTAAAAATACAAAAATGAGCTGAACACGGTGGTGCACACCTGATCCCAGATACTTGGGAGGCTGAGGCAGAAGAATTGCTTGAACCTGGGAGGCAGAGGTTGCAGTGAGCTCAGATGGCGCCATCACACTCAAGCCTGGGTGACAGAGTGAGATTCTATCTCAAAAAAAGAAGTAAGGGGTAAAGGAAATTGGGCTCAGAGTGTCAGAGTAGGAAAAGCAGACTCTGATGTCAGACCCACTGTGGTTTGTTTTCCAGCCTCTGTAACTTTTTTTTTTTTTTTTTTTTTGAGGAAGGGTCTCACTCTGTTGTCCAGGTTGGAATACAGTGGCACGATCTTGGCTCACCGCAACCTCTGCCTCCCAGGCTCAAGTGATCCTCCCACCTCAGCCTCCTGAGTACCTGAGACTACAGGTGTATGCCACTATGCCCAGCTAATTTTTGTATTTTTTTTGTAGAGATGGAGTTTTGTCATGTTGGCTGGTCTCGAACCCCTGAACTCAAGTCATCCACCCACCCTGCCCTTCCAAAGTGCTGAGATTACAGACGTGAGCCACAGCACCCAGCGCAGCCTCTGTTAGTGACCTTCTGTGTTTACCTTGGACACGCAAGCCTTGGATCTCTTGCATGTAAGGTGGGTATCATAATACCCATTTCACATGGTTCTTGTGAGGATTCAATGAGATTATGTAGAATGCCTGGTGTGGTGACTGGCCTGTAGATAACACTCAACAAATGGTAGTTGTTGTTCTTACTGCTGTAGCTCTTGTTATTGAGGAAAGGATAGATTGTTTTTTGTTTTTGTTTTTGTTTTTTTTGAGACAGAGTCTTGCTCAGTCGCCAAGGCTGGAGTGCAGTGGTGCCATCTGGGCTCACTGCAACCTTGGTCTCCCAGGTTCAAGTGATTCTCCTGCCACCATGCCCAGCTAGTTTTTGAATTTTTAGTAGAGACAGGGTTTCACTATCTTGGCCAGGCTGGTCTTTAACTCCTGACTTCATGATCTCCCAAAGTGCTGGGATTATAGGCCTGAGCCACCATGTCCAGTTGAAAGGATAGAATTTCAATATGAATAGCTGTGGAAGAGCAGAGACCAGCTGGGACTACGCACTTGGGCAGGAAAACAATGAAAGGCTGTGCTTTAGGAATCTAATCAAGTATTGGATACAAAAGGGTTGACCCCAGAGAAATTAAGACACTGAAAATGATTTGGGAATGGAGCATCCAAGCTAGAAGTGAAGAGGGTCAGAAGCAGGAGAATAGCAGGGACAATGGTGAGGAAGAGAAGGTTCAGGACACATCTCTGGATGGAGACAGTGGTCTGTGCTCTAGGTTGGCAGAGCTCTCTTCTCTGGTCCTCTTCTGAGCAAGACAAGCAGCTGACCAGCTTAGGGTCCATGGTCTCTAGCAATGCACAGACCCACAAGCCAGCCTCGTAAGCACAGCAACCTCCCCAGGGTACCACACCTGGCTGACCACCCTTTGGGACCAGCTAAAGCACAGATTCCAGAGTCTTCCCTCAGGCAGAGGTTTAGGAGGTCTGGGCTGGCCGGATTCTGAAGTAGCTCATGCCTGGACTGGCATTTAGAAATAGCTTAACGAGGCTCCAGCCCACAATGTGACGGGAGAGGGATTGTCCCTGGCTGTTGTATAACCTTGGAATCATTAACTAGCCCAAACTAAAACAAAGTGAGAAGAAAGAAGAAGGCCAAAATGAGACACAGGCCTTTCCTGAGGGATTTATCCATATGTGAAGACTTTGGATTGGAAATGGTAAGATCTCAGTTAGCTGCTCCTAAGGAGTGCAGGGGACCAAGTGAACTTCAGCTTTTATTCTGCAGACATCATGGGTAGAAAGTCGAAAAGCTACTCTACCCATCTGCCAGTGAATCCATTCGTTTATCAAACGTGTACTGAGTGGTAGCATCTGAAATACTGTAAGAGTTGCTGGGAATTCAGGAAGGGCACTTTCTTTGCCCTCAAGGGGTTCCCGGGCAAGGGAGGACAGCCAAATGCAATCTAGAGTGGGACATACTCAGCCAGTTGTGTGAACCAGTTTGGTGGAAAGTGACAACTCCCATCTTGAGGGAGACTTCGAGTGGGAAAGGTCATTCGAACTGGATCCTAAAGGCTGAAAGCGTAGTTTGCCAAGCAGGGCAAGAGAATTCCCTAATCAGGTATCACCGGGTTGCAAGACACCGACAAACCTCAAACTAGCTGAAGCGAAAAGAGAAGTACATTGGAAGAACCCATCCTTGAGAAGTTACCACATCTCATGAAGGGCTGTAGCCAGGGCCTAGAAAGTTGGGAATTTCAGTTACTGCCTTCTTCTTTTTCAGCTCTGTGGTCCTTCATCCTATTCTCTCTGTATTTAATTTCTTCTTCTCTCTCTCTACATGAGTTTTGTTGTCTTTCTTTGTACACATAATGCAAAATGACCACCGCAGACCCCTTTGCATATGTCCTTCTTGTTCCGTGTCCCAGCGAGAGCCAACCAAGCAGAGGTTAGCTATCACTGCCTTGTCCTCTAAGTCAGTACAGGTTCCGTTAAAATCAAAACTTGTTGGGGTGGAGAAGGGGTTCCTGTTAAAGAGAAGAGAAACAGAGGAGTCAGAAGAGTTGACAGACTGGCTGGGTGAGGTGGCTCACACCAGCAATCCCAGCACTTTGGGAGGTGGAGGTGGGCAGATCACCTGGGATCAGGTGTTTGAGACCAGCCTGGCCAACATGGTAAAACCCTGTGTCTACTAAAAATACAAAAAATTAGCCAGGTGTGGTGTTGGGTAGCTGTAATCCCAGCTACTCAAGAGGCTGAGGCGGGAGAATCGCTTGAACCAGGGAGGCAGTGGTTGCAGTGAGCCAAGATCGAGCCATTGCATTTCAACCTGGGCAACAGAGTAAGGCTCTGCCTCAAAAAAAAAAAAAAAAAAAAAAAAAATTAAAAAGTGTTGACAGACTAAAGAAAAGGCTGGGTCAACTGAGCACATGGGATGAGCATACAGGGGAGAGAGAGTGGCCAGCATAGCAGAGGAGGGAAAGAGTCACAGGTGGTGGCACACTGAGGAAAGGAGAGAATTTGGTATTTTCAGGTCTTGTGTGTGGTGGGAGTTGGTAGTTAACTTCCTCAGGCCACCACCCTTTCTCTGCTGCTGCAGTTCATTCAGAAAGGATATTTTCTTTCATTGGGCAGAAAAATTGATTTGGACTGCATCTCCACACAACCTCTGAGCATGAGATCCTTCAGCCTCCTGCTCCTATGATCCTACCTGCTGTTTCCCTCCCAGATGGGAAGCATGGCTAATCAAGGAGGGGAAGTGGCCAAAGGAGGAAGCAGGAGTGTGTGGGTCCGGTGTGGAGGAGACAAAGGCTGGGCTGCTGTTGCACACCTTCAGCACACTTTCTAAGTGTTGGTGGCTGCGGGGCTGTAGTCTGGGTCTGGAAAGTTCAGAATTCAAGTTATTGCCTTCTTTTCCTGCCTTCTTTTTTCTTCAGCTAGTTTGAGTGTTTCTCTGTTTCTTGCAGCCCATTGATTCCTGATTAAAGCATCCTCTTTCCCTGCTTAGCAAACTGCCCCATGAACCTTTTGGATCCAGCCTAAATGCCCTCTCCAACATGATGTCTCTCTCAGGATGGGAATTGATGCTTCCCACCAAACTGGTTCACACAACTGTGAGAGTGTGTGGAGTGAGCCCTACATCACAGAAAGGCGTGATGTAGAAAGCATGGGGGCAGGGAATGCGGATTCTCTTTAACTGTCTTGTCACCTCTGAGTCACAAACGAAGTGTTCTGCCCCCAGATGTAGAAAGTTGCAACACATTAATGAAATGGAAGGAAAGGACAAATGGCCCCAGGGAAAGTCTTGGCTGGAAAAGCCTGTCTTTGATGCTGTTTTCTGGCCACTTTGGACACCCTGCTGCCCTTGCTATGTTGCCCAGGATGGTCTCTAAGTCCTAGCTTCAAGCAGTCCTCCCTAAGTGTTGAGATTACAGGCATGAGCCACCACGCCCGGTCTGGAGCAACCACGTTTAACTTTACATGCCTGCTCTCTGTGTGACCCTGGGTAAATTACACATATTCTCTAAACCTTAGACTCCTCATCCACAAAATGTCACTAATAATACAACTCTTTTGCAGTTTAATTACTATTATCTCATTTATGAAATGCGATAATCTCCTAGTTCTCCAGAAAAACAAAATAGGATATAGAGAGATTTATTATAAGGAATTGGTTCACACACATATGGAGGCTGAAAAATGCCATGGTCTGCCATCTGCAAGCTGGAGGCCCTGGAAAACTGGTGGTTTAATTACAGTCCAAGTCTGAAGATCTGAGAACCAGTGGCATTGCCTTCTCCAGTCCGAAGGCAGCAGAAGACTGTTGTCCCAGCTTTAGCAAGCAGGATGAATGGATTCAGCCTTCCTCTGCCTTTTTTTTTTTTTTTTGAGACAGAGTCTTACTCTGTCTCCCAGGCTGGAGTGCAGTGGCACTATCTCAGCTCACTGCGACCTCTGCCACCTGGTTCAAGTGATTCTCCTGCCTCAGCTTCCAGAGTAGCTGGGATTACAGGCACCTGCCACAGTGCCTGGCTAATTTTTGTATTTTTAGTAGAGACAGGGTTTCACTATCTTGGCCAGGCTGGTCTTGAACTCCTGACCTCATGATCCACCCACTTCAGGCTTCCAAAGTGCTGGGATTACAGGCATGAACCACCACTCCCGGCCTCCTCTGCCTTTTTTGTTCTAAGCAGACCCTGAACAGATGGGGTAGTGCCCACACACACTGGGAGGGCCATCTGTGTTACTCAGTCTACCAAATGCTCATCTCATCCAAAAACACTCTCATAAACACAACCAGAAATCATGTTTAACCAAATATTTGGCACCTCATGACCCAGTCAAGTTGACACATAAAATTAATGATCACAGCATCACACCACGTAAAGTGACTAGTATTGTGCCTTCACGTAGTAAGCATTGATGTTAGCTCTCATTATCACACTGTGTCTTAATCCATTAGTTAGATTGTTTGTTCCCCCCTTGGACTGTTTCTTAAGGAATTAGTGAGTGACAAAAGTCAATAGCAAAAAACAAAATAATATGATTTTAAAAGTACAAATATTAGCCAGGCATGATGATATGCACTTATAGTCCCAGCTACTTGGGAGGCTGAGGCAGAAGGATCCCTTAAGCCCAGGAATTTGAGGCTACAGTGAGCTAATGTTCTCACTACTGTGCTCCAGCCTGCTGTGTGACAGAGTGAGACCCCATCTAAAAAATAAGAAAAGGTGGGGACAGAGGACCTGCATATGAATGGACAGTTTCCCAAGAAAGACATATGAAGGACTAGGTGTATAAACATGAAAAGGTCTGCAACACTACTAATCATCAGAGAAATCCAAACTGCAGCCACAGTGACATGTCACCTCATACTTGTTAGGGTGGCTGTTATCAAAAAGAAAAGAGGTAAGTGTTGGTGAGGGTGCAGAGAAGAGGAAACCCTTGTTTGGTGGGAAGGTAGATTAGCACAGCCATTATGGAAAACAGTAGCAGGGAAGCTTCTCAAAAAATTAACAATGGAGCTAGCGTGTGATTCAGTATCTCACTTTTGGGTATATTTCCAAAGAAAATAAAATCAGTCTGGTGGTCAGTCACAGTGGCTCTTGCCTGTAATCTCATCACTTTGGGAGCCCAATGCCACCAAATCACTGGAGACCTGGTGTTTGAGACTAGCCTGGGCAACGTGGCGAAAGCCTGTCTCTACAAAAAATACAAAAATTGGCTGGGCATGGTATGGTGGCACAGACCTATAATCCCAGCTACTTGGGAGGTGGAGGCACAAGAATCTCTTGAACCCAGGAGGCGGAGGCTGCAGTGAGTAAGCCAAGCTTGTGCCACTGCATTCCAGCCTGGGTCACAGAGCTAGATTCTGTCTCGAAAAAAATTTTTTAATTAAAAAATGAAATAAAATCAGTATGTTGAAGAGATATCTGCACTCCCAAGTTTATTGCAGCATTGTTCACAGTAACCAAAATGTGGAAATGTAAGTGTCCACGGATGGATTAATAGATAAAGGAAGTGTGGTGTGTGTGCATGCATGGAAAAATAAGCCAGACAAAGAAAGAAATACTGTCTTCTAAGTGGAATCTAAAAAAGTTGAACCTTGTCGGGTGTGGTAACTCATGCCTATAATCCCAGCAATTTGGGAGGCCAAGATGGATTGATAACTTGAGCTCAGGAGTTTGAGACCAGCCTGGACAACATGGTAAATCCCCCAAAATACAAAAAATAGAAAGATTAGCCAGGAGTGGTGGTATGTGCCTGGAGTCCTAGCTACTTGGGAGGCTGAGGTGGGAGGATGACTTGAGCCCAGGAGGTGGAGGTTTCAGTGAGCCACGACTAAGTCACTGCACTCCAGCCAGGGCAACAGAGCCAGACCCTGTTTCAAAATAAATAAATAAATAAAATTAAAATTGAAAAATCAAAAACTCAGCTGGGCACATTCGCTTATGCCTGTCATTCAAGCACTTTGGGAAGCCAAGGTGGGTAGATCACCTGAGGTCAGGAGTTCGAGACCAGGCTGACCAATATGGAGAAACCCATCTGTACTAAAAAAACAAAACAAAACAAAATTAGCCAGGTGTGGTGGTGCATGCCTGTAATCCCAGCTACTCAGGAGGCTGAGGCCGGAGAATTGCTTGAACCTGGGAGGTAGAGGTTGCAGTGAGCTGAGATCGTGCCATTGCACTCTAGCTTGGGCAACAAGGGTGAAACTCCATCTCAAAAAAAAAAAAAAAAATTAAAAAGTTGAACTCATAAGCAAAGAGTCAAATGGTGGTTGCAAGGAGCCTGGGGATAGGGGAAATGGATGGATCCATTCATCCATCAATGGACACTTAAGTTTCCATATTTGGTCAAAGGATACAAACTTCAGTTATAAGATGAATAAGTTCGGAGGGTCTGATGTATAGCATGGTTGCTATGGTTAATAACGCTGTAGTGTTTACCCGAAATTTTCTAAGAGAGCAGATCTTAAATTGTACTCACCACACACACACACATACACACATACACTCACACACAATGATAATTATGTGTGGTAATGGATGTGTTAATGTGATTGTGGTAGTCATTACACAATGTGTATGATACACCTTGAATTTTAATTTGTGAATTATGCCTCAAAAAAACTGGGGGAAAAAAGGATTCAAGTGTGTAAAGTGGCAGGCACATGGAAGGAACCCAGTGAAAAGTACTCATTATATTATTACTGACAAGATACTGATTGGGTACATGTTAAAGAAGACATACAATACAAAATGACGCGAAGACTCACGCCTGTAATCCCAGCACTTTGGGAGGCCAAGGCAGGTGGATCACCTGAGGTCAGGAGTTTGAGACCAGCCTGGCCAACATGGTGAAACCTTGTCTCTACTAAAAATACAAAAATTAGCACAGCATGGTGATGGGTGCCTGTCGTCCCAGCTACTCAGGAGGCTGAGGCAAGAGAATCGATTGAAACTGGGAGGCGGAGGTTGCAGTGAGCCAAGATTGCACCATGGCACTCCAGCCTGGGCAACAAGAGTAAAATTCCATCCCCCTCCCCCCAAAAATAAATAAAAATATAAATATAAAATTTAGCTGTGTGTCGTGGCACACACCTGTAGTCCCTGCCACTCGAGAGGCTGAGGCAGGAGAATTGCTTGAACCTGGGAGGCTGAGATTGCAGAGAGCTGAGATCGCACTGCTTCAGAGGGAGATTTTGTCTCAAAAAACAAACAAAAAAAAAAACAACCAGAAAAAGTGGTTCTATCCCCTCCCACTCTCCCCCTTGCCCACCCACCCCCAAATACTCATCATGGTATCCAGGCATGGTGGCTCAGGCCTGTAATCACAGCATTTTGGGAGGCTGAAGCGGGCGGATGGCTTGAGCTCAGGAGTTCGAGACCAGCTTGGGCAACACTGCGAAACCTCATCTCTACTAAAAAAAAAAAAAAAAAAAATTAGCTGGGGTTGATTCAGTCAGAACAGGGCTCAGAGCCAGAGGTCAGGGTGACTGAGGTGGAGGAGTTGTGGGCCGTGGGCTCATGGATGTCAAGGTTTTTTTTTAAAGACTCCTTTCCCATGAGGTTGCAGACCTGGAGACCCAAAGCAATCAGACTCAACCTCAACTCTCAACATTTTGCTTTGGAGTCTCTGCCAGGCTTTCTATCTACCCCTTGTAACATGATGCTCTGAAGACTTTGCAGCTCAGGCTCCTCTTCTGAATTCCAGAACACTGAAAATGATGTGAGCGACTCTTTTCATTTTTCCTAAGGTTGGTACATAATGAGCACCACTCTGAATGCACAGGAGAGAAGTGAATTCATTAGAACAATGAATGACATGGGGTGGCAGGGCTTAATTTTCTTGCGGAACCTGGTGGAGAAAGGCCCCAGTGGATTCTTCCTGTAATTCCCAATCTGTCAGACTCTAGTGTGTCTTTGTTCCATGCCATTCAGGATATAAGTGAACCCTGCTCACCACTCCCTCCCCCCGACTCCTGCCTCCCTCCAGTCTCACTGGGGATGTTGGACGGGGCAATGATCTTGTCAGTAAAGAAGTACTGATACATTTGGGTTTTTGTTTTGTTTTGTTTATGTTTTTGAGAGGGAGTCTTGCTCTGTCGCTAGGCTGGAGTGTAGTGGCACTGTCTCAGCTCACTGCAACCTCTGCCTTCCAGATTCAAGCAATTCCCCTGTCTCAGCCTCCCAAGCAGCTGAGACTACAGGCACGCACCACCATGCCTGGCTAACATTTGGGTTTTTTAAAAAATGGTTTTCTTTTATTTTTCTTTTTCTAGATTCAATTTCACTCTATCACCCATGCTGGAGTGCAGTGGCACAATCTCAGCTCACTGTAACCTTGGCCTCCCAGGTTCAAGCAATTGTCCTGCCTCAGCCTCCCAGGTTTCAGCAGTTGTCCTGCCTCAACCTCCCGAATAGCTGGAATTACAAGCACCTTCTCCACCAGGCCTAGCTAATTTTTGTGGTTTAATTAGAGATGGGGTTTTACCATGTTGGCCAGGGTTTGGTCTCGAACTGCTGACCTCAGGTGATCCACCCACCTCAGCCTCCCAAAGTGCTGGAATTACAAGCATGAGCCACCACACTTGGCTGCTTTTTAATTTTAAAAAATGTTTCCTAAAGACCTTGGCAAAATTCTGAGACAAGTGGAAGAAATATGCCTCTAAAAAGGACAGTTCCATTTGAAACAAGGAAATCCTACATTTTGTAGAGGGAGGAATGCTCTGTAAGGGCAGCAAACAGATGTGTTTCCAAAAATAGATTGTAAGGCAGCATTTATAAGGCTATTGAGAACCCTGGTTGTTACATGAATGCTTTCTCAAAAAGAGCTAAAAAAAAAAGTTCAGCCACTTACTTGACCTTAAAAAGGCCTTAGAACTGTGTGTGTGTGTGTGTGCGCGCGCGCACATGTGCATACATGTTTGTGTGTGTACGTGTATGTGCTATCCTCCACAGTCCATGCAATCATTATTATAAAAGGTCAAAATATCTTTTATTTGAAGAAAAGAGAGAAGAGTGACAATCATTTTTTCCATTAAGAGCTTTTTAAAGATGTTATTTTATTTTAATATTTAAAAAATTATTTTCTTTAATAGAGATGAGGTCTCACTATTTTGTCTGGGCTGGTCTTGAACTCCTGAATTCAAGGGATCCTCCTGCTCAGGCCTCCCAAAGTGCTGGGATTATAGGCATGGGCCACAGTGCCTGGTCTTGGAAGAATTTTTAATAAAAACTTGGCCAGACATGGTAGCTCACGCCTTTAATCCTTGCACTTTGGGAGGCTGAGGCATGTGGATCACCTGAGGTCAGGAGTTTGAGACCAGCCTGAGCAACATGGCAAACCCTGTCTCTACTAAAAATACAAAAATTAGCTGGGCATGGTGATGGGCATCTGTAATCCTAGCTACTCAGGAGACTGAGGTGGGAGAATCACTGGAACTCAGGCGGTGGAGGTTTCAGTGAGCGGAGATGATTGATGCCACTTCACTCTAACCTCGGCGAAAGAGTGAAACTCGGTCTCAAAAAAAAAAACAAAAAAAAAGATTATGTAAAGGCAACTAAATGTCAATTCTTAATGTAAGTGATTGTTATTTAGGAGTTTATTATAATAGTCTTTTTTTTTTTTGAGACAGAGTTTTGCTCTGTTGCCCAGGCTGTACTGCAATAGTGTGATCTCAGCTCACTGCAACCTCCGCCTCCTGGGTTCTAGTGATTCTCCTGCCTCAGCCTCCCAAGTAGCTGGGATTAGAGGCGTGCACTACCATGGCTGGCAAATTTTTGCATTTTTAGTAGAGACGGGTTTTACCATGTTGGCCAGACTGGTCTCAAACTCCTGACCTCAAGTGATCTGCCCACCTTGGCCTTCCAAAGTGCTGGGATTACAGACATAAGCCACCATTCCTAGCCAGGCTGCATAATATTTTATAATTTATTTAATTAGTTATTTATTGAATGTACATTTAGATTGTTACCAATATTTTGCTATTACAGACAATGCCAAAGTGAATGACAGTGTCTCATTCTTTTGCTCAGGCTGCAGTCTAGTGGTGTGATCATGGCTCACTGCAGCCTTTAACTCCCAGGCTCAATCCATCCTCCCACCCCAGACAACTTGCTGAGACTACAGGTGGGTGCCATCAGCATGCCTTGCTAATTTTTGTGTTTTTTTGGTAGAGACAGGGTTTTGCCATGTTGCCCAGACTGGTCTCAAACTCCTGAGCTCAAGCAATCTGCCTGTCTTGGCCTCCCAAAGTGTGTTTCACATTTTGAAAGTCCCTTGCCATGCAGAGAGGAGTTTGAAATTCTCCCATTAGCGCTCTTATTTTAACATTTAAACCGTTAATCCTTTCTGACTTTATTCTAGTTTATGAGATAAGAATCCAAACATTTTTTTCTAGATGGCTGCCAGTTGTCCCAACACAATTTATTAAACAATCTTTTTCATACTAATTAGAAATGCCACCTTTATCAGGGAGTACATTTCCATTTGTACTTGGGCCTTGTTCCGTATGTTTTTTTGTGATTCTCCTGATCTGCCTCAGCCAGATACTTTGGCCTGTATTCTATTAGTCTGGTATTATAAAAAAAAAAAAAAAATAGGCAGATATCCAAGACTCTGGCATATATTTAGTCAAACTCCATTCAGAGCAATATATGCAATGGATGATTTGTTCTCTGGGGGAAATGTTTTAAAATCCTACATCTGCTAAAATCCAATCTTCTTCATACGTTGAGGCTCAAGTCCAAACCATAGCTATTATCAGTATTGGTCGATGAATCTTGATTTTAGAGTGAAGCAGGCATCCAGTGTCAGGTTTCGTGTTTTTTGTTGTTACTTGTTTTGAGACCAAGTCTCATTCTCACGCCCAGGCTGGAGTGCAGTGGTGTGATCTTAGGTCACTGCCACCTCCCCCTCCTAGGTTCAAAAGGTTCTCATGCCTCAGCCTCCCAAGTCGCTATAATTACAAGTACGCACCACCATGCTGGCTCATTTTTGTATTTTTTTTTAGTAGAGATGGGGTTTTACCATATTGGCCAGGCTCGCCTCAAACTCCAGACCTCAGGTGATCTGACCACCTCACCCTCCCAAGGTGCTGGGATTACAGGGGTTAGCCACCATACCCGGCACCCCGAGTGTCAGTTTTGATTGTTTTTATGGGTCAAGTTAGCATGCTGGTGAACTGTGCTTCTGGTTAGGATAACAAACAGATTCTACCATTTCTCCGCTTACCTTCTTACTTTCTCCCAAAGCATGGTTCTAGTTTTGTTTTGTTTCAATCAACAACCTACATACATTTAATTTATCTCCTAACCTCAAACCACCCTCTTCTCAGTACTAGAGGCATTTTGATTTGTAGGCAGCTTTGAGACAGCCTCAGGACTATGCCTTGTGAACCTCCAACTTTGAGGTGTGCAAGTGACAGAGGATCTGGCTGTGCTCTGAAATTTACTGAACTGTCTATGCTGAGGGGAGTTCTCTCAAGGGCTGCTACTCCCAGTCAATGACGGAGGGCAGCGGAGATGTTAAGGCAGGCCAGGAAGACAGAGAATGCCTCTCACAGCGGTCTTGGGCTGTAGGACTATCTAGTGGCCTTGTTGAGCCTTCTTCAGACTGTAGAGTAGCTGAGGACACTTCTGCCCAACTTTCTTTCCTCCTTCACTTAGAGTCAGGTTTGCATGATGGTCTGATGTTTCTCCCAGTCTGACCCAGCTTTCTCCCATTTTCTCGCACATAGGCACTTCCCCTAATAAAATTTCTGCTCATAACCCTGATTTGACATCTGATTCTTGGAGGAGCTGGATTAATGCAAGCTTCCCATTCTTGCAGCCGTTAAACATTTTGTTTGGTAATTTCCCTACATACTCATCATAAGCAGTTGTATGTTGGATCTTTGCTTCACTTTCCAATTGTGTGTTAGTAATAGCTCTTTTGCTCAATTCAGTATAGCAACCTGCCTATTACCCACAGAGATGCAGTCAGAAATCATTACGTCTGTGTGGCAGTAAGTCAGGACTTTGAGACTTCAGTGGTCACACAGCAGGAATGAATGGAATATTCATCCTAAGAACAATTGGTGCCTGATGAATAACTCAAAGAAGTAATTTCAACCTGAGTTTCATAGAGGGTGGACCCAAAGAACAGAACTGTTCCCAGAGGCTGAGATCACACTTTTATTTGTGGGTGAAGCAGGATTAATGCATCATTCTGATGAATGATGAGCAGACACACCCTTGAATTTAGTTAAGTATGCACCCTTCCTGCCTTTACTCAAGAAGTTCAGTGTTTCCAAAGCTATGATTTAAGGGCAAACGTTCTTCTCTTCATCTTCACAGCTTCTGATGTTCTGGAGAAACCAGTGTTATCTGAGTGTTAAAAGTCAATTATTAATCCTTTCTCAGAGTTTCTGGATGATGTTATTGGCTTTCAAGCATGAGATGCTTCCCAAGAGAGCTGTTGACTTCCAGTCTGACCAAATTCTTTCACGTCGTGGCATGTACGATGCCTAAACGTTTTGGAACGTCTCTGAGATGACTTCCGCAGGTGAGTCCTCTGACTGCCTTTGGGGCTAGATCAGTCATGTCCACTTCATTGTTGATTAGGTGTTTGTGTAAAAAAATTTTTTAATGGTTTCCTTAATAGCTCTGATTAACACCGAATATTTGGATCCTGATGTGTCAGTTACAGACATTGAATCTCTCATCATTAAATATTTCTGCCTCTTTTACTGAGCAGAGGAGGATGTATGTGAGCAACATATGGGTGGGGTTGATCTGAACAAGAATTTAGGGAGGAGAAAATTATACGATCTCTAAATTTTTTAGGGAGAGGCTGAATCTACCTCACTAATTTTTATCAGGCTTGGCTTAAAGGCTTCTGTCTGTTAATAGACCATCCCAGTTTGGTATTTCAGCTGAAATAATGTGCAGCTCTACCCTAATTAATTAATTAATTTTTGAGACAGAGTTTTACTCTTATTGCCCAGGCTGGAGTACAATGGCATGATCTCGGCTCACTGCAACCTCTGCCTCCCAGGTTCAAGCAATTCTCCTGCCTCAGCCTCCCAAGTAGCTGGGATAACAGGTGTCTGCCACACATCTGGCTAATGTTTTGTATTTTTAGTAGAGACAGGGTTTCACCATGTTGGCCAGGCTGGTCTCAAACTCTTGACCTCAAGTGATCCACCCACCTCAGCCTCCCAGTGTGCTGGGATTTCAGGCATGAGCCACCATACCTGGCCCTAATTTATTTTTTCTTGGTCTTTCACACTCCAGTGTCAATAAAATATTGTGGGGTTCACCCCTACAGTGTCCTGTGAGCCCTTCTCTACTGGTGCGGAGATGAGACACTGTGGAAATAAAGACACAAAACATAGAGATCAAGGGAAAAGGAGTTTGGGCCCACGAGTCCACTGCCAACCAAAGTGTGGAGTCCGGCAGTGGCCCTGAGTGCCTGGACACTCTGACTTTTACTGAGTACAAAGGAGGGGGCAGGGTAGGTAGGGTGAGGTAATGATGTTCAGTGATGGGGTCAGGTAAATCACGTGTCTTGGAGATAGGGGTCCAGGTCTTTCAAGTAGCTGAGATGAGGTAAGGAGCATAATTCGTCAGCACTTTTTCCATACTTGTGAAGAAAGAACAAAGACATTAAGATTTACATTACTTTTACTGGTTATCTCTTCTAAGAAAAAGAGGAACCAGGTGCAGAAGCGGAACATGAAAGTGGACATGGCCCCCGGATGTCTGTAGACCTACCTGACAGCCGTCAGGCCTACTGCAAGAGCTTGGGGGAGCAGAGCTTTCTCCTAACTCCTCCAGGGAAGGAGACGTCCTGGACGTCTCCTTCCAGCTGGCTAAACAGTGGGCTCTTTCCCAGTGCTGGTGCTGCCGCACAGCCAAGGTGCCCTCTGGCAGCCCTTACATGGTTGTGACAGAGGGCTTAAAGTGTCTTGCCTTAGGGTCACTTCTTTCATAATGTCACCTTAGGTTCACACTTTGCAACCCAAGAAGCATTAGCAACATTGAAAGATTATAAGGAGTATACATATATTTAATTATCTATATCTATGATTACTTATGTGATTATATTTCGAATTTCATCATTTATATGGAAATAGGTTAAGGCTTCAGACCCTTGCCTTGGCACTTGTGGGATCTCCCGCCCACAGATATACTTATTCCAAACTAAATTCTGTAGCAGGCTTCTCTTTAGGAGGCCCATTGAGCAAGCCAGTAGTGTCATGCTGGATGCAGGCTCTGCTGACTAGTGTGGGCCGTTTAAAGTCATTGCCACCTGTAGATGAACTAGAGTGTTAATGAAAAGGCTAATCTCCAAACTCCCTCAGAACTGTGACATCCAGCTATTTTATCAACTTTAAAACATGATGAAGAGGAAATTCTAAGAAAGAAATGAAAAATTGCCACCCATTTTCTTACCACCTTAAATGTATCTATTTTATTACCGTAAAACTTATATTGGGGGATACATACAGCCTTTACATGGTTGGATCATGTGTACATAGCTGAGACAGGAGAATTGCTTGAACCCAGGAAGAGGAGGTTGCAGTGAGCCAAGATTGTGCCACTGCACTCCAGCCTGGGAGACAGAGCAAGACTCCATCTAAAAAGAAAATAGTTTGACATTTATTGGGGGCCGAAGACTGCACAATCTTGAGATGGACACAACTTTAGTAACAAGATAATAAAGCATATGAAGAGTTATGGAGGAAGAGGAAGCAAAGAGGAAGAAGAGAATAAAGAGATGGAAAAAGAAGAGAAGGGCTAGACAAAGTGGCTCACACCTGTACTCCCAGCACTACCTGCTGAGGTGGGCAGATCACTTGAGGTCACAGCCTGGCCAAAATGGTGAAACCCTATCTCTACTAAAAATGCAAAAAATAGCCTGGCATGGTGGGGCTACTCCCAAGTAGTAATTCCAGCTACTTGGGAGGCTGAAGCACGAGAATCATTTGAACCGGGGAGGTGGAGGCTGCAGTGAGCCAAGATTATGCCACTGCACCCCAGCCCGGGTGACAGAGTGACACTCTGTCTCAAAAAAAAAAAAAAAAAAAAAAATAGCCACGCTGGTGGTCCACATCTGTAGTTCCAGCTACTTGGAAGGCCAAGGTGCAAGGATTGCTTTCGGCCGGGAGGTCAAGGCTACAATGAGCCATGGTCATGCCACTGTACTCACAACTGGGTAACAGAGTTAGACCCTGGAAAAAAAAAAAAAGGGAAGAAATGAGGTGGAAGAAGGGGAGGTTAAAGAAGAAGAGAAGGAAGAGAAGGTGGAAGAGGAGGAAGGAAGAAGATGGAGAAAAGGAAGGCAGAAGAGAAAGAGGGAAAAGGAAAGGTGCTACATGGAACAGGATGGAGATGAGGCAACTAATTAGACTCCAGTCTTGCTCCTTGTCCTAGAATATCACCAACAGCCCTGCAGAGGGTATTCTAAAAGTTGTGGGCATCTGAGTTTAGTGCAGTGAAATATCTCTATCTGCCGTGGACAGAATAAGCCTGAGTCAGTATGGGCCACAGTAATAGGGATTTTTGATGAAAGGCAAGTCTTTTTGCCTGGTGTTCAATGTGGTTTGGAGCAGGATCTCAGATGGTAACTGGAAGAATAAGGTCAAGTTTCCCGCCCCCCCACCCCCCACCACACCACCCCCAAGAATGGATGGTGGTGGCTGGATAAATCTGGCCAGATTTCAAGAATCAGAGAAGAGGACTGAAATTCAGGCAGGCTTCAGTCTCAGGAGGGTGTTGGGGAATTAGGAGACTAGGGCAAAGAATCCAGGGTTACAGGCTGGATAACAATTTACAGAAATTAGGGAGACATAGCAGGTCCCAAGCAAGAGAATACCCAGGCATCACCTCATAGAAGACACTGGTCAAATATTGAAAAGCTAATTGAAGACATCATATGTTATTTATTCATTCATTTCTTCAACAACTTTTGATTGAAGATTTGACTCATTGTTGGGGCCTGGAAATATGAAAGTAAGGAATTCATTGCTTTATACTTAAGATCTCTGGTGTGGGAGGCAGATATACGAACACAGAGCAATCAGGACAAGGAACCAAAAGACGCTATGGTGAGTTTCACAGCGGAGAGGGAGGTTGAGCTGAGGCAGTTCCCAGCTCAACTTTTCCCTTTGACTTAGTGATTTGGGAATCTTGAGATTCCTTTCACAAGGAAAATGGCTCTGTGCTCTAATAGTTCATCCTCTGCTGTTTCTTAACATCTAGAAGAGTGCTTGGCACATAGCAGGCACTTGATAAATATATATTTTTTTAATTGTAGAAACGTGGTCTCCCTATGTTGCACAGACTGGCCTCAACGTCCTGGCTTCAAACGATCCTCCCATTCAGCTCCCAAAGTGCTGGGATTGCAGGTGTGAGCCATGGCCTCCATAAATAATTTTTAAATAAATAGGATGAGTTTGGGAAAAGCTGCATACCATATTTCCTTCTTGAAGAGCAACAATGCACATTAGCAAATTATGTCCTTTAAGAGACCAGTAGTAAAGAAAGTTGTTTTTTTGTTTGTTGCTTGTTTTTGTTTTTTGAGACAGTCTCTCTCTGTTGCCCAGGCTGGAGTGCAGAGGCACAATCTTGGCTCATTGCAACGTCTGTCTCCCTGGTTCGAGCAATTCTCATGCCTCAGCCTTCCTAGTAACTGAGATTACAGGCGCCTGCCACCATGCCTGGCTAATTTTTGTAGAGATGGGGTTTCACCATGTTGGCCAGGCTGGTCTCAAAATCCTGACCTCAGGTGATCTGCCCATCTGGGCCTCCCAAAGTGTAAGGATTATAGGCATGAGCCCTGGTGCCCAGCCCATAAGTTTTAACTTTCATTCATTCAACATTTCCTCACTAATGTGTCCACATATCTCTTTTTTGCATAACAGTGATGCATGTCCTTTAGAACTAATGCTGTGTAGAAAAGTTTGGGAAATGGTTACCTGCTCCATCCATTCTCCTTATATGGCTGGTGAGCGATCAAATTAAAAAGCAAAATAGAAATTTTAAACCAGACCCAACTACAGTGAAATTCAGAAATATACAAATTGCAGTGACCTAAACCCCCCAGAAAACAAAGCCTAAGATTATAATAAATATTTTGAGGAGCAAATTATCCCCTGGTTTAGATGGAAGCAGAGCTGTCTGGACAGTCTGCTGTTTTTAAAACATAATCTGAGCTGTGCTCTGGGTAGAGGAAGAGCTATTTCCAACTGAATACCCTCTGATCATCATTTATATTCCTCTGGTTTGATAAGCAGGGGAATTGCTTGCTTTGGAGACTTACTGACCCCTAATCAGCCATTTACTAAGAAAACATCAGATTAAAAAAAATATATATATATATATTTACATTTTATATACACTTATTTATTTTAGACACAGGATCTTGCTGTATTGCCCAAACTAGATTTGTACTCCTGGGCTCAAGTGATCCTTCCACCTCAGCCTCCCAAATAGCTGAGATTACAGGCATGTGCCACTGCACATCTGGCAACATCAGCTTTTCTTCTTTTTTCTTTTCAA